AAAAAAAACCTAGTTTCTAGTATTTTTCTAGTATTTTTATGCTAGAAACTAGAATAAAAATACTTGTCAAGATTTTGTGTGTTTGCAGTATCAGATAAAACATAAACTCAATACATACAAAAAACAGTTCTCAAATCATTTTTTTTTTGCCTAAAGTGATTTTTTTTTTGCCTAAAACATCTTTCAAGAAGAAAGAAGTGATTTTTTTTCTTTTTTTTTTTTTTTACACAAGTCACTTTTGTACGGTGGCCGACAGGTGCAAATGCGCAGCAACAGAGAAAACATCCAAATAAAAAAGAGACGCAAACAAAAAGCAAATGCAGCAAACAAAAAAGAGACGCAAACAAAAAGCAAATGAAATGCAGCAAACAAAAGAAAAGATGCAAACAAAAAGTGCTGAAAACGGAAGTGCTCCAGACCACTAGGGGGAGTCGAACAAAAAAACAGCTGTGTCCAAATTTAGGGTCTGCATTACGGTGGCCGACAGGTGCAAACATCTCCGAAAACGTCGGAGCAATATTGTAATTTAGTGATATAGTGTTGAACTGAGCAGATATTTCAGATCTATACATCTACATTCTCGCCTAAAAACTTTGTAAAAAATACTTCTGTGTAATTTTAAGTGTAACACAGCACAAATAATTTTGCCGCCATTGCTGCTTTTCTTAACACCCTTTTTAAAAGATGCAGACCCTAAATTTGGACACAGCTGTTTTTTGTTTGACTCCCTCTAGTGGTCTGGAGCACTTCCGTTTTCAGCACTTTTTGTTTGCATATTTTCTTTTGTTTGCTGCATTTCATTTGTGGTTGTAGTCTTTTTTGTTTGCGTCTCTTTTTTGTTTGCATCTCTTTTTTGTTTGCTGCATTTCATTTGTTTGCGTCTCCTTTTTTGTTTGGATGTTTTTTCTGTTGCTGTGCATTTGCACCTGTCTGCCACAGTACTTTTGACACAAATGACTGATTATTTTTCCATTATTATAGGAAGGTGATGATCAAATTCTGTATGCTGAAGGAATGTGAACTGGACTGCTATTTAAATAAAGCTGCATATTATTTTGTTATTGAAGGAAAAAAGTAATTGAAGCCAAGCATCCATAAGAGAAAACACAAAAACCCCACTTTTTAATTCAGTTGTCTACAAATAATCTTATGTTATTTGTAGATAACTACAAATAACATAATCAGACATGGGCAGTAGCCATGCCCATGTCTGATTACTTCCAGACTATATTAAGGTAGTACCTGTCTAGCATCATGAAGTAGGCACAAAGATCTTAAAAATCAACACAATATGCTACAAAGAAATCCAAGAAGACATGAGAAACTGTCCTTTTTTCCAATTCAAATATTTTTGAATTTGAAAAGTGCAGGAAGTCGTTTCTAAAACGTTGAGACTCCAGTAAAGTCCAGTAAGAATCATGATCAGTAAATGGAAGAAACATCAAACAGCACTGAACTTTCCCACAGGTGTCCGGCATACCAAAGTTACTCCAACAGCAACATCTAAAGCACTGCAGGATTTACCTCAGGTCAAGTCAGAGGTCATGTGATTCTATTCTTGCAGTCCTGGTTTCTTTCAGCTTGTTATTTACACTTCAGCTGGGCAGAAATCTTTTAGTGTGTTTGACAACCTTGATGTACAAATGCAACTTTGGCAGGGACCTATAAGGACTTCCCAAGAGTTTGGCACTATTCTTGTGAGGTATTTTTTTTTATGTCTTTGTTCTTCTGCTTGGCACCTTGAGTAAAATACACTCCTCTGCTCTTGCAGAAAAAGCTGCATTTCCATTCCACGTGTGCAAAACTGTCCCGATATTCAGCTGACGTATAAAAAACAAAAAAAAAAACCCTTCTTCTCATTTCCATAAAATATAAAACTCAATTAAAATTGCAGGTGAATATGTTTGTTCATACGATAAGTCATTGAAAAACATGCTGTGCCATCATCCACCAACCACTTCCTGTTGTCTTCTGTTGTCGTTTTCACCAGTAGTAACATCCTGTTGCTGATCACGATTCGTGTGATACAAAAACTGACCTCGTCCTTGCACCAAAAAGTTTTATCAAAAGACATGAGTTTGTTTTAATTAGCGTGTTTCCATTAAGCAATGTTTTTGTAATTCCAATTTGCATAATTATATGGTCCATGAAAATGCAGCTACTATTGCCTTTGCATTAATGAAACCATGGATTCTCTTATGAATGAGAATATCTGACCACCAGTTTGAGACCTTAAGTAGATACTCCACATGATATTTTACACCTTACAAGAACTCGGGTGCAGAACTCTAAGGAAGTCTTTACTCTCTTCCTTTCTACTGAGCATTTGTCAGTATGACCAGACCAACTTAAGGACCTTTTTAAAGCTAAAGTCTGCTAAGTATTTTACAGCAGGACGATATAGTCCAAAACATACCAGCAAGTTGGAAAAAAGATATGGACTTATGGACTTAGATTTAAGTCCATAATCTGGACTTAAATCTAATTAATGTGGTATTCAAGTTCCTCAAGCAGGACATTTGTGTTCAAAATCCCACCAATATGGCTGATTGAAAACAATTCTGCAAGAAAGAGTGGGGAAAAACTCCTCCACAATAATGTTAACAGCTCATTGCTAAATATTGCAAACACTTGATATGGAGGATCTCCAGTAAAAGATCTTCTGTTTAGGGGAGACCTCACACACGCACACAAAAACTGATCAATCCACCAGGATCCTGACAGAGAACTCAACAAGACTCAACAAGAGAAAAATCTGTTCTGATTTAATTCTGATTTTCCAAATCAAGTTCTTATTCATGGATCATTAACAGGTAGGTCATAGCAACAGCCTCAATTAGCAGTTACCACTAGTTTGACTGATCAATGCTTCCTCGCTTTGGGAACAGCTAAAGGTTACTATGGAGCATCCAGATAAGCGGTGAAGAGGAATGTGGAAGCTAATCTATAGAAATCAACTCTCCCAACCTAAGTCTAACTTGCAGGCTGTGGTGCAGCCACATGAAACAGTGGCTGAATGTGACTGACAACTCCAGAGATTAAACTGATTATTGGACCGCTGCTGGAGTGAAACCAAAGCCTACACTCATGATGGTGCCATGAGATATAGGCAGTAAAATGTAAATAATGATTTCATCTGAATAACTAAATCAGAAGAACGTTTTGGAAAAGCACAGACACAATGTTTGTTTATTGCTTTTTTTCAATAATGCACTAGTCAACATTATCAGTGAGTTTTAAGGATCTTATCTCAACTAAGTCACAAATTACTGTCTAGACTATTGATTTTGATCAAAGCAGGCTGAATTTTATGGAGATATTTTTGGAGGTATTCCTGGTGCAAAAGTACCTCCATAAAACTGTATTTTAATCCATTATGATACTGCTGGAATTTAAATTTGTTTCTCTTTGACATATTTCAATGCAGATATATTTTGTTGCTTTATCCAACCATTTTAGGAGCTATTTTCATTTTTTCCTTTTGTTAAGTCCATTAACTTTGACCTATGAATCATTCAGACACAATAAGTCTCTCAAATACACAAGATAAATAAGCACTGTGTCCACAAATTGCAAAAAACTTTGAAAAGAACCAGTTATTGTCATGTAATTCTTGGTTGATGCAGGACCAAAATGCAGACAGGAACTTGAGCGTAGTGATGGTTAAATAAAATAAATAAAATATGTACTGATCTTTCATTCACACATATTCTTTCCAGAACTCACCAGGTACTTACCAGCAATGCACCATCTACATTCCTTGAATTTCCATAGAACTTAAAAGGTACCAATTTATAGAAAGTATCTGGTAACGTAAAGAAAGTAACTTTTGAGCTCTGGAAAGTACTGTAATTTTTTTTTTTTTTTTTTTTTTGCACTTATTGAAACTTACCCTATTATCTGAACTTATTAGAGAGTTTGCAAACCATGAGCAACTACTACTGAACAAAACAGTATATTCTGCTCACGGAACATATTTAATTTAAAACTATGAATTTTATTGATTTTACTTAAATGGGACAGTGCATATTAATGAAGTACTATTGTAAAAATGCACATTTTGTAAAGTACATTATATATAAAATATTATAAAAATTATTTTAAATTATTTTAACTGCATTTCCTGAACTAGTTTATTTCTGCTGACTCCACACATGTTTGTGTTTTTCCATGTTGACTGTGGGGAGTGTATTGTTTGTTTTTATCTTGTGGGTTTATTGTTTATAATTCTGTACATCGCTTTAAGATGCTTTAAGTATGAAATCATTTTTTTTAAATTATTGATTCATGTACTGATTGATATTAGTTTAGTTAATTTACCATTTCAAGGTTATCATACAATTGCTAGCAGACTGATGCCTAAGCTTATGCAGAACTTATTGTGAGCCTCTGTTCTTACAGATGAGGTTTTGAAGTTATCTAAAATGTTACATATTTATCATATCACTTAAATATTTACTTATCAGTGTACCTCTACCTTTTTGGAATTTTTTTTTAGCCATGAGTCTGGGTATGGTGTCTTAATTTGACATCAGTTGCTTTAACTCCTGATTACCAGATCCCTGAACTGCAATAGAAATGTTGCGCCACCTAGTGGAGACAGTAACCAAAGCATCACATGAGCTGGATGACTTCTCTGTACTTGTGGGTCGCATAAACTGGGTGTTAATTGCTAAGTGCAGCTCTCGACTCACATCCTCTGCAACTGCAAGGCAATTTATTTTAAAGCTGGGGAAATGGAAAAACAAAAAAATATGGCAGCATTTCATGTTGTGATGTCTAAATGAGACAGAATGGGAAGCAGAAGAGAATCTTGGAGGTTATGTTGAAGTGAAATCAAACAGATCAGTAATGAAAAGGACTTTTTTTTCTGATCTGAGAGCGGTGCCCTATTTCCAGACTGCTCGGTCTACCTGCGCTCGGAGAGCCCCTCCCTCCGTCGCACGCCTCCCCCCCTCTTGCTCCTCGGAGTTTATGTTGCACTCGTTGCAGTAGGAGGGTCCATGTGCACAGAATGACGTCGCTCTGACTGCAAGTCCAACCGACTCCTGCGTTTGTTTTTTATTACTCCTCTTTAAAAAAAAAAAAAAAAAAAAAAAATGCAGGGCCCCAGATTCGTTAATCTGCGAAATTACAGCCATAATGTGAGATTATGCGCCGCTGTCGCCCGACCCATCGCTGAGGCTCGTCTTGTCAGGAGCAGCGGCTCGTTGTTGAGGATTACTAGAGATAATACGCAGTAGACTTTTACGGTGTGCGTTTAGCTGTCAAACTGACAGCGATGTGTCAGGAAGAGTAGTTAGAGCGCGTTTGTTGATATTTATTCACTTTGCAGTGCGCGTCTTTCCTCCCCTATCTTCTGGATTACCGCTGCCCAGCAACACAGCCACCTGACAACTCTGAATGTCGTAATTAAGGTAAGGAAGGACGGAGCTCCGCGTTTCACAGTGTGCATTTTAATTTGGCGCTGCTTTTGGATGATAATTTAAGAGAACACGCTGTCGAGTCGGATGCTTAAACACTCGCATCCCAGGTCGGATTACTCTGTCAGAGAAATCTAATAACTTTCATCCGGGGCAGCCAGTTTTCCGTCTGCTCCATAATAAAACTCTCCGAGAAGTTTATGCACACCGCTTCATCTTTTAGACATGAACAGAAAAGTGGTATTTTGAAGTAGATTTCAAATGTATGAATTGATGTGTTTGGAGATTGCTGGAAATAGCAAAAATATTATTTAAATAATTCATATTTTCCCCTTTTCTGCTCAAATATTTTTGTTTCATTCATGAAGTAGCAAAAATCGCAGAAGTAACTTCATAGTTGAAAAGAAAAAAAAGAAAAACAACAACTAGCAAATTGCCTGTATTCATTGTGCTTTATAATTTCTGCGCACCATCAAAATGGAGAGATGTGCAGAAAGTCCCAGAGGCAGAGTTTCCGCCGCGGACCATAAACAGGATTATTCAATATTTATTATGTTTTAGTCTTCACATTTTTATGTCTGGGCGCTAACGAACAGGCTGCAACAGTTATCAAAAGTGAAAATGAATGCAATGGAATATTTTTGCATTAAGTCGAAACAAGTTTAATTCAGTCAAATGTTCCTTCTTTCTGTGATCTAATGTGTGCATGGCAGCCTGCAAGAAATATATATCACACAATGATGATTGCAAATCATGATTTTAACTGCTGGATTGTTTTATTCAAACGACATACTGATGCCCCGGTGCCTGCAAACTACAGCTGAAGTTGTGTCGCAGCAATGTTGTGGTCTCCGGAGCAGGAACTATTGAGTGACAGCTTTCGGTCCAATCACTGCGCGACCTGATGAAGCTGACGGATTTTAGACTGAGCCGTCCAATAGGGGCGCAGATGAGGTGGGAAACTGACAACGTCACGGATATAAATTAACCCTCAGTTTGCGCTTTTTTTCGTACAGCTGTCAGGTTGCACATTACCGAAGTTCAGCGACAAGACGACTTACAGAGAGAAAATATGATCCAGATTTGTACAGAAGAAGTCTTATTTCTTTGTTTATGTTGCTCTGGGGGACACATTTTAAGAAAGAAAAAAGAAAAATCAGGCATTAATTTTCTAAGAATTTAATGTATTTATATATATAATCATAACAAATCCCTGGTTTTATGGACTCTGTAGTTCAACATGATCTTTATGTCAGATTGTATAATGATATTTTAGTTACCTTGTGCAATTTTTGTTTAATGCACATACTTGTACCTGTCATTTTCAAAAGCCTTCAGAATGCCATCTTTTATACAAAACCAGTAGGTTATTGTCCATATTTGTTTTTAACTCTAAATGTATTTTATTTCAAGATGCCTTGACTATTTTTTAAAATAATTTTTAAAGTGGATCATTTGGTGATTTGCTAAATATTTACTTAAAACCAGGGTTTTAATTGGGGAAAAGAGAAATAAGGTTTTTGAGTGATAGTAACTCTCAGTGATACCTGGGCAGTTTCAAGTGTTTCTTTTTTTAAAGAAACTCTATTATTAATTCTTTTTGAGGAGATAGCAAATAAATTAACATTAATATAAAACTAATAGACAGCACATTCAATTTTCATTGAAGCAAGGCGAAACATGGCAAAAAAAATAAAAATAAAAAATACAGTACAATTCACTCTGGTGGTTTCATTGGGCCTATTTTTTGCTGGATGATAAATTGTCCCAACAGTTATGCTGAAAAACCATATTATTGTGGTTTTGTGACCTTTTTCAGGTAATGGTATGGCATAATAATAGAAGAACACATTCTCAATTATCAATAAACTTTAAACTACACTGCTCAAAAAAATAAAGGGAACACTCAAATAACACATCCTAGATCTGAATGAGTGAAATATTCTCATTGAATACTTTGTTCTGTACAAAGTTGAATGTGCTGACAACAAAATCACACAAAAATCATCAATGGAAATCAAATTTATTAACCAATGGAGGCCTGGATTTGGAGCCACACACAAAATTAAAGTGAAATGTTCCTTTTATTTTTTTGAGCAGTATATAATGAACATTTCACTGGAACTGGAAGACAGTTTTAAAGTTTTCCAAAATAAATGAACACAGTCTATGTTATAGCACAATTGTTCTTCAAACAAAGAGCTAGTTAGGACCAAAGCACCAGACAGATGACTTTTATCCTCCAGTTTTTGGTAGAAAGAAAAGAAAGAGAAAATTATTAATCATCCAAATGGAAATTATTGCGTTCATTTCAATTTATCATACATTTAATTGATTTATTGATATTGTGACAGATCTAATTAAACTAAGCAGTTTGCAATCTAATATCCATAATAAGTGCTTTGTTTGTTTGCCAGGTGACTCAATGAGCCAGCAATGGAGACCAAAGGATACCAAAGTTTCTTTGATGGAGAAGACGCAGAGGATAAATGGTCTGAAGCCCCGAGCACGATGGAGTACTCCTGCAGCACGGAGGATTCGAGTCTGACTAGCAGCGACATCCTGATGGACGTAGTCAATGTCAGCTGCTGTGCTGGAAGCCTGGCAGCCGACAGCAAAGACAAGAATACCAAGAAGCAGGAGCAGCCAACGCTTCAGCTCAGCCAGAGCCAGCCATTTGTTCTCCCACACTTCAACAACACCCTGCATGGTCTTAAACAGGAAATGGACTCCAAGGAGCTTTCCAAGACTGTGGCTGAGTCTATGGGTCTGTATATGAACGCTGCCAGAGAGGCGGACTTTGCTTTCAGCCATCATGGAGGCAACTCAAGCCCAGGGAAACCTTACCCAGTGTGTGGGCGCTCGCTGGAGGAGAACCAGTGCTGCTCCAAAAAGAGCCCCAAGTTGAAGCCATTTGGCTTTCAACAGCCAGGTGCCACTCCTAGGGAATGCACCACTGGGACTGTAGTTAGCTCAGCGTCCATGCTCGTGTCCTCCCTGTCCTGCAGTCCCCAGACATCCAGCTGCATCTCAAGCCCCGGAGGCAGCAACAACATGGTGTCATCTACAACCAGCCCTACATGCTTTGGACCACTATGCTCGTCTGTCAGCAGCCCTGGAAGCCAGACTTTGTGCGCAGCAACTCTAGCCAACATCAAGAGCAGGAATTCAGTCACATGTAGCCCTGTAGAGTCCAGCACAGTTGGCTCGCCCCCGCTGACCAGTCCGCTTAATGTCATGAGGTCCCCCATGTCCAGCCCACAGAGTATGAGCAGCGTGCGATCCCCTCCATCCTGCAGCACGACATGTAACATTAGGTCGTCTGTTTCCAGCCCCACTGGTGGCAGCTGTACTGCCGGTACTAATAACAGTAACACAGCAAGGCTGTCCATCTCCAGTCCGGCCTCTGGGGGCCCAATGGCTGCCAGCAGCCCCCAGAACCCCTCCTCTGTTGGGTTTCCTGTGTCCAGTCCGGCTGGTGGGCTAGGTTTGGTTCAGAACGACACCAACAGTCCGGACGCGGAGGGGATGACCAGAGACACAGATTTCAAGAACTTTGAGTTCCCTAAAGTGGAGATGGTGGATGGGGAGGTGTTCAGTGTGGGACTGGACCAGATGGGCATGGTTAAGTACATCAAGAATGAACCTGAAACTGACTTCCGGAGCATGTGTCTCGGCAGCTCCAAATGTAACGTGAGCAGCGCGCCATTAATCACGCAGATTAAGAGTGAGCCAAACAAAAACGAGGGTTGCATGAACCAGCAGCCCTTCGGAGAGACGTCGCCGTCCCTCGGCCTCTTCCCTGCATCCGAGACCACATATTTATCCCTGAGGAACAACATCGACGAGTACAGTCTCTCTGGGATCCTAGGGCCCCCAGTATCTTCTGTGAATGGGAACTATGAGACAGACTTGTTCTCCAACAATGTACTGTCTAAGGGGGTCAAACAGGAGTCCAATGACGGCAGCTATTACCAGGAGAATAACAGCATGTCCACCTCCGCCATTGTTGGAGTTAATTCCGGCGGACACTCATTCCATTACCAGATTGGAGCGCAAGGAACAATGTCATTCACGCGGCATGACATGAGAGACCCGTCCAACCCTTTGTTGAATCTAATTTCACCTGTAACGGCGTTAATGGAGTCGTGGAAATCTCGGCCAGGGATGTCACAGGGTTCGCTGTCAGCCAGGAGTGAAGGCTTCTCGGGTCAGAACTGCATCGCTGACAGCATGTCAAGGTAGGAGGAAGAAAACGCGTCTCGAAGGAGACTCTGGTTGAAATTTGAGGAGCAGCTTTAGTTATATCTTTCAGAGTATTCCTCTTGAATGTTTCATAAGTGATGTTTACCTTGAGAACTGCAAAATGGAATCAGTAACCCTTAAAGCACTTAAAATGCATTGTGACACAGTGGGAACTGGAATTACACAACAAGGTTCAGGTCGCAGACATGACATCATTTCCCCGTGCTACACTGCAACACCAAGGCAAAGTTTAGCTCTTATCTGCAATCAATCCATAAATATAGACATACTTTATTGGTTTCTTATCAGGTCGTCTAGCTGAGATCTCTTCCAATGCAAATAGCAGTTTATTGTAGTCTGTTGGAAGCATTATAAATAATAAATGCCTGATTATTACAAGATTTTGTTGCCAAACACGTGTAATAAACAGCTGATTATGTTGAAGCCTAGGGGAAAATAATTCTGTGCTAACTTGCTAAAATGGTAGAAATCAAACCCAGATGTTGAGGTTCAATGAAAGAACCATAAGCTTAAACAGATGCATATTAAATACCAGTAAAATCGCTGAACTTTAAGGTCATTATGTTCTGGAAGTTGGACAGGTGATAAACACATTGTTATCGCCGTTTTATGGAGGACATGTGAGTGACACAGATTTTATGAGCCGGAGGGAAAAAAAGAAATATAAACATAGTCATAAACTACCTGCAGTTTACCTGCAGATCTTCAGTGAGTTGCTGTTGGTGTGTGTATACGGACCTCTGCTCAGATGGTGTTGGTGGAACAGATAACTGGTTTTGGTACAGAAACAATCAACAGAATCATGAAGTGGACATTTATCTCCTCAGTTTATTCTTCTGAAGAGCTCACTGATTGTCCTGCTCACCCTATCTTTGAGTGTTTAAGTCATCTTCATGTCATTTGCTATCATTTTTGGTTCTGATTTAGCAGGATGAACTGCCAGATACAATACATTGCAAAAATATTTATACATTTTCACTTTAGATTTTAAGTGATAGGATGAAACAAAGTAGTGTTTCATTGCTAAGGAGGGAAAAATGACTAATGTTTCTGTGGTTTAATGTAATCTGGACTATGACTGGGCCATCTTATTACAATAATACATATAAATCTGAACCATTCAATCATAGATCTGGATTTATCCTCCTGACTACCAGTAGTTCATTTTTGTCCTCTGTAGAGGACATTTCTAAACTTGAATATCTCCCACCCCCTGCATTCTACTGAATTAATTCCTTTTGGTATCTGGAGAGGACATTTAGGGCTTTTCAATGATACCACATGTGAAGGGGTGAGACTTTTGTACGTACCTTTTTCTAATTCATGAAAATGGCATTTATCAGTAATAACACATTTTATGGGAAGAGACAAAGTAAGTGCATAAAACCTTTTATTACCTTACAAAGAATGTGGGATTTAAAAAAAATGGTGATTGTACAATATTTTTTTTTCCTGGTAGTCAGGATGATATTATTCAGCTTGTCCTGTTGTCCAAGCTTATTACCCCATGGTCCAGAACTGTCAAGTTGAAAGTAATTGAGGGCCACAAAAGATTGATGAGAAAAAATTATCAAGAAAAATTATTTACCGGTACACAAACTATTTTAGTAAAATAAAGAAGTTTGCATAGAAAATGGAGCTATAAATCATTTAGATCTGAAACATAGCAGGTTTGTTTAAAGCAAATGAAAATAAACGATTAATAAAATCAAACAAGCAATGAAATTTAATTAGAAGTGAAATTAGTGGTTGAAAGAAGATAAACTTGTGTTGTGCTTCCATATTTAGTATAATACCGCTCAGTGTAACACTGGTAAAAACTTTAAAGGGTTAATAGAGGAGCCATGTTGTGATGACTTTCTGAAGGCAGAGTTTCAGAAAGATCAGGAGTTTGTTAAACAGACAGGTCCAATTACAAGATGTTGAATTACAAAGTCAATGTTTTTATTTGAGATATACAGAATTTTTACAACAACTGAAGTTAACATAGTTATTTGATTGCGGTATAAAATAGCACTATGTGGCTGGAAAATACAAATTAATGGCCACATTTGTAGAGAGCATAAATAATGGGCGGGTTCTCTCTCTCTCTCTGTTCGGTTAATTGGTGTCTAAACTGCCCTAAGGTATGAATGTGCTGTTTGTGCCTCTGTGTGTCTCTGTGTTGCCGTGCGATGAACCGGTTCGGGGTGTAACCAGGTTTTCGCCTAAAGACTACACCAGCCCCCAGTTCAAGTTCCTTTCACTTTACAACTTTGGGCTTCCTTGTGTTGGTTTGACATGTGAAATCTTAAAAAAAAATTGCTGTGAACTTTGGGGTTATGAGGAAAAATTTAAGTTTAAGGAGTTGAGTGCTTTTCCAAAGCAGTGGAAAATATATATTTGGCAGCAAGTTCACCTGGTCAGATTTATTCTTTGTCTTGAAAATCTTTAGCAGATTGATTATCCATTTAATTATTGCACTCCTTATCAAATACTTGTGGCTCTGGTGCAGCGAGCTCTGTGCCTGCTCAGACGTATCTGTGTTTGAGTTTATTTATACTGCATTTCACCTTATCATGATTTTTCTATCCTCTGGGTTTGACGTGTTTATTCTGCTTTATATGAGCTGTGCACACTTGTCTAAAGAGTAGATACTCCGTCTGTGTGTGTTTGTGCATGTGCTATAACAAGGCTTGCAGCTCTGCGGAGACTGATACAGCCCCGTTGCCTTGGAGGCAACCCATATGGCAGGAGCCAAAGCGATGTTGACGGGATCACTGCCACCTTGGTCCTAATGAGATCCAGCTTAGACCTAATGTCAGACAGGATGACAGGAAGTAGTGGGCCACATGGCAGCAAGGCGGGGAGGCAGGAGCCCACAAAGGGAAAAAAATATACATACTTTAATACAATGCAAATATAAAACACATATAGAAACTATAGATAGACATATGTTCCAGCTAGAGTGAAACAGCAACATGTTTAGCTTATTGTTACTATAGTCTCTTGTCATATCTATGGAAGAGGATTAGGACCACTGAAGAAAAAAATGAATTCAGAATTTAATCTCGGATTTCTGACATTTTTCTCAAAATTCTGAGTTTAATCTCAAAATTTTTAGATGTTTTTTTTTTTTTCAGAATTTTAACTTTTTTCCCCGAGAATTCTGACTTTGATCTCAGAATTCTGACTTTAATCTCCAAAACCAAGAATTCAGAATCTCCTTTCTCTGAATTCTGTCTTTAATGTCAGAATTGTAACTTTTTTCTCAAAACTCTCCACATTTTTCTCTGAATTCCGAATTCAGTCTTTTTTCTGACATCAAAAGTCTGAGTTCGGAGGAAAAAACAATCGGAATTTAGCAGAAGCTCTGAGAAAAATTCTGAGATTAAAGTCAGAACTATTGTTTTATAGGCCTTCATCCTCTTCCGTCCATATCAGAAGTGTTACCTCACATATAAAAATTTCGATTTGGTCAGTTTAGAAATTTAGGAGATGCGTCCAGTTGTGGTCTTTTCTTTTAAGCTTCTACAGCCATAAAAAGCACAGCTATTGCTCTTTATATGCCGACAGTGGTAATCACCTAAAAAAAGAAAAGCAATATAAATTGACAGAAGATGTCATCTTATATTTGTTGGGTTTGCATAATTTTTTTATTTCAATTCATTTGTAAAATTAAATCAAATTGTAATTGTATTTGTACATTTCAGCAACAAGGCAGTTCAAAGTGCTTTTCATCATAAAAACACAAAACTCACCAATTGTAACATTAAATCTTTCCAAGCGCCGTCATTGCACGTCAGAATTTATTTTAAGCATTACACTGGTGTAACTAATTTGATACATTTGAGCAAATGGATGCACATATTTTGAGATAACTAAAAGTAAAATTGTTGCAAAATGGTCACATGAAGAAATTTGGCCCTTGGCAAACCCACAAATCCCTTTTTATACAATCATCCACAATTTTGTTAGCGATTTAGGCTGTCCCTGGACTACAACACATAAGACAAGTTGATAGAGGTATTTGAGCTGAATAGAGTTGCAGTAATTTGCTCTTTCTGCAGGGAGCTTGCATGTTTATGTCCTGTTGTGCAGATGGTTATGGATTCTCACCAGGTATTCCAGTTTCCTTCCACAACCCAAAACTTTCACTGTTAAGTTCATTGGTCTCTTTAACTAGCATTTAGGAGTGTGTGTGCATGCATGATTGTTGTGTTTGTGTGCAAAATGATGGACTGGTGATTTCTCACCAAATGACTTCTGGAGACAGACACATGCCCTCTGTGACCCTGCAAGGATTAGCGGGTATGGACGAAAAATGGACGCATGACTTCTTATCTTTTTTTTTTTTTTTTCTTTTCAAACCAGAATGGGGCGTTCTGCTGTTTAATGCATCCAATGAAAATGGTTTTCATAAATTTCAAGCATAGGAAAAGAAAAATCAGACTTTTCAGTATTTGACCTGCTGATCCAGTCTCTTAAAGTTTCTCCTCATGTGACATCTCTAATTTACACATCAATGTTTTATCAGGCAGAATTAACCCAAGGTAACTTTTCGTCTTTTAATTTCATAATCCAGCAAAATATAAAATTCGAACTGAAACTTTCAATACTTTTTTTAGTTTTAGAGTTTCTAATTAAAACATCTAAACATGTCCTCTAGCCTTTGAAAAAGCAACCCACACAACAGATTGACATTTTTCCGTGCTCTTCGCCTGAAACCAGATTCTGCAACTTGACATCGCAAGGAAGTATCAGATTTGAGCCGGAAAAATGCTTTCGCCTGGACTGTGGCCAACTCTCAATGTTCTGCAGAGGGATGAAAAGGCACACTCCTGAGAGAACACTAACAAGACTTTAATTGTATGTTCCTCCACTAAATTAATGGATGGAAATGATTTGATTAATTCAGACACCGTTGGATACTAATATCCAATTAAATTCCCGACACCAGGCATGCACAGGGGCTCCCAGTGCTTTATGTGTTCCT